TGTGTGATTGGTTACAGCTGTGTGCAATCAGTGCAATGGATGATGGGATATGTAGTCCGGGATGACATGCAACAGTTTGTGTAATGCGAGAGTCAATGTAATGGAAGGGTGACCTCTGGTGGCGATCGAACGGAAGTCCATGGACAGGATTCGTGACAGTAATTTTGAAGAATTATTTTCAGCACCTCTCAAAGTAACAGTACTAACTATAACAACTTTAGTTTGTGTTCAGTCTCTCATATACTATACAAACAGTACATGAGATTAAGGCAGATTAGGTCTCAGTTTTGTGTGCACTTTCTGGGTAATTCCATAATTTGTGTGCAACGTCCAGCCAGACCAGGACTTACTGAGACAGGACGGTTTGGGTGTCCATTTCCCATTGGACTGACAGGCTCAGGCAGGATCTCCCACCAACACGAACCCTGGCCTGCAGTCGTACCGCACTACAGAACCCACCCACCAATCACTCCCATACACCATCCCGTTAAAGTCCACATCAGGCTTTCCACAATTCACTAGGGAAAAGAAAATGACAGAAGATTAAACATGAGAGAAAACTCATGAAACACATAAAAAGTTGTAGTTCACACACACAAATCAATAGCTGGATCTTTGGTTTTGTGGAAACAGTGATAGCAACAAAAATGGAGTACATTACATTAAAGGGATAGTTCAGCCAAAAATGAAAACTCAATCATGTTTCAAACCTAACTTACTTTCTTCTGCTGAACACAAAAGAAGATATTTGAAGAATGCTGGTAAATATTTTGGTTTTAACACCTCTTAAAGTAACAGTTATTATTATTTTTTTGTTACAATGGATTCCACTGCATGGACAAAAAAAACAACACAAAAAAAAAAAACAGACTTTTGAGACATATTCCACATAAAGTCAATCATAAAGGTTTAGAATGACATGGGTGAGTAAATGGTGACAGAAATTTCATTTTTTGGGTGAACTGTCCCTTTAAGATGATGATCAGGTGTACCTCTACAGAAGGATTTGTATCCCACCCAGCAGCAGTCTGAATCTCTACAGTTGTCTCTCTTGAGCTTCCGGTGTCTGCCTTTACACCCTCCAAAACAAAGGGGGGCTGTCCCGGACCTGTAAGTGTCCTCCAGTTCATCCTCCTGTTCCACCTCCAACAGACCTGAGAGACATAGTGCAGTCTACGGTGCTCAAATTCATGCATCCTTTACCAATTTTCAATGTACAATATTTCCGACATTTTGTCAATTTGTAAAATAAATCTTGATGCTTAGTTTAGATATCCTGTTAGTTCATAAATGAATCAAGTGCTTCTCTTACCGCTTCCTAGATCTTCCTCCACAGCTGTTCTTTCAGTAAATGCAGTTAAAGGCACTTGAGTGAACACCACATTCAAGGACCCCAGAAACAGCAGCAGAAGATTTCCTAGTTTCATGTTGTTTTAATGGTGGAAATTCTTCTCCAAAACATAAGTTGTCAAAACGGTATAATACCGTAAAATTAATGTCCAATACATGTAATGTCCAATACAGTTTTTAACCGTATATAGTAGGGGAATTTACCGTTAACCATTTAACAGGTTTTTACTGTAGCATTTTTACAGTCTTTTACCATTAAATTCAGTTCTCTTCTTCTGAACGTCTCCCACTCATTTTCTAATCAGCATTTCCTTGTTCTGTTGTCTCATATCGTATAAGTCATTATGTGAATAATATAGAAAAATAATTTGCATTAGGAACTGTATTCTTTAAAGGCTATTTTCAAGAACCTGTTTTCCTGCAGAAGACAGATGGAAAGAAAGGGGAAGTGTTGCATCTTAGCTTACACTAAGCCGTTAACGCAAACTAATCTCTTACATTCCACTAACACACCAGCTAACATCACCAGAGCAGAGAGAAAGAGATTATAGAGAAAGGGAGAGAGCCATGGGAAGTCTGATTTGCAGTTTAGCTTAAATATCAGTTGTGCTGACTGTAAAGTTCATGTTTCTCACATCTTGTCCGGTTCACTTCCCTAAGCAGAGTTCCTAGTGTGCTTGAGACCTGCAGTGATTGTAATTACTGTAACGACACAGATCTGTGAAAAGTGCTCCTCAAACACTGACCTCCGACTACTGCAGTGATGCATAAACTTCTGCCTAACCCAGCACAACCTGCCTGCTGGCTCTTGTCCTGAGAGATTCAAACAAACAGGACTTACAAGTACTGTTCTTACAGTCACACAGCACACGGGATCACAGAACAAAGTGGATTATCCCCAGAACACACTCCGTACCTGAATACACAAGCTTTCATTTTTTCAATCAGAGAGGAATATATACAGTATATATACACACACACTAATGATCAAAAGTTTGGGATTGGTAAGATGTTTTTTTTTTACGTTTTTGAAAAGATGTCTCTCGCGCACCAAGGCTGCATTTATTTGATAGCAGTAAAATTGTGAAATACGATTACAATTTAAAGTATTTTAATATATTTTAAAATGTAATTCATTTCTCTGAAGGCACAACTGAAAAAAAAAATTACTACTTTGAATGGCAAAAAAATATTTCTGTTTACAATCAAAATATTTTAATTAGAAAAGAACAAAACAAAGAGGACAAAAAATTTATTGAAATAACTGCCATTGTTTATTTAAAATAAAATTATGTCATTTAGTATAGTCAGTTTGCCCTAAATGAATTCTTCCATCTCAGTTAGACTATTAGGACTCAATGGCAAATAAAAGTCCTAAGGAAAAGGTGTATCTTAAAAAAAAAAAAGTAAAAATAAAAATTAAAAAAAAATAACAATTAATTTTAACTACAACTAAAAAAACAATTAATTTTAACTACTACTATGATAGAACAGCAGTAGAAACTGGAAGCTTCCACCAGAATGGGCCTTTCTGGACAACAGAACTGATCTGAAGTTGAAAAATAAATTAAAGAGGAATGGTGGCCAGTTTAAAGTTCAGAAGCACTTCCAATTCATCTTTAAAACAGAAGCACACTGTATACAACTATACACTGTAAAGAGTTCTCCACAGAGATCTGTCCATCTTTCTTTACATTAAGAGTCAAAGAAAGCTGATTAAACTGTTCAGTAGGATACATTTCTGTTCTCCCTTACCCTCTTGTCTCTCGTTTGTTGCTCTCACTCACACACACACACACACAGTCTAATTCAAAGGGATAGTTTAGCCCAAAATTAAAATGGCGTAATTTAATCTTATTGTTCCAACCCTGCAGTGTCCTTCAAGAAGTAAGACATCTTGAATGTGTGCGAGCGTGTTTTCCCTACAAGGAAAGTGACTTACTTTTCTAAGCTCCAAACAGGGGGGAAAAAAATCACATAAATACTTAAAACATACAAGTCACAGGAGCTACATTTAACATACTTTCAGTGTTTTTGTCCATTTTGGAGCTTAGTGGAATAAATCACCATTCATTTTTGTTGAATGGAAAAATGCAACTCGCACACTCCGCTTGACATCTCATTTTGTGTTTTGTGACAAACAAAAATAATATGGGGACATTTATGGAGTAAATTATAACAAAAATGGTCCTTTTTGAGTGAACTATTCATTTAACCACATCCTCAGAGCTAACCTGTGATTCAGCTTCATCTGTTCTGTTCAGTACGGTGTTCAAGGGGTTTGATGATGACGACAGCATCCTCAAACACACTCTATTCCTGCTTTGGTCCCGTTAGTATCATAGCACTTTTTGTCACGGAGTTATTTGGAATGTCCTAATGTACCTTTTTATTGTCTGACACAGCAGTTTTAGGGCGTTGCAGTAATCAGAGATGCAGTTAAACCACCTCCATGCCCAGCTGTTGGGCAGTGTCTTGTAGCTGACGCATTACGGACCCCTCCCTTGTAGAGTCTGTTTCTGAGGAGGTGCCGGCTGTCAACACCAAGAACACACTTTCTGTATTTTCCTGTGTCCTACAGTCATTCACTCCCTCCTTTCTTATTCCTGCCTCTGTATTTCCACCCATGGTGCCGAGGGGCCCCGACTCCTCCAGTTCTTCACCGGGCTGGACGTTCTGCTGGCTGGACTCACTGCTGTCCCCCTCTCCCTGCCGCTCCCGCATTAGCTGCTCTGTTAGCTCCACGCTCTCATAGCGGATCAGCTGCAGGCGCATGAACCCATCTTCATGCTCTTTATACCTGAAAGAGATTGGTACAGGGCAAAAGACCATAGTCAAGTTAGATGGGTTAGGTTTACTGTCCACTGGAAACCCCCCTCAAAATAAATATGGCATTTATACAGTGGTGTGAAAAAGTTTTTGCCCCCTTCCTGTTTTTTTAATTGTTTGCATATTTGTCACACTTAAAAGATTCAGATCACAGATTATGTTATTGCTGTTTCTGCATGTGTACAAACTCAAACACAACCCCCTCACATTCTATGGAGGTTTGCCGTCGAATGTGGTCAAAGAACTTTGTGTTGTTGGCAAACATTCCTCCACAGGTCGGACATGCCACCAGCTTTTCCTGTGTGTGGCTACGCATGTGCTCTCGCAACTTAAACCTGCCCTTGAAAGAGGCCTCACAGTCTAGAAATAAGAAGGAAAAGTTAACGTGTTCTCAAAAATGTGCAGATCTTCAAAAGTCATTATGAGCAGGATCATTGTAAGAGGCCTTCTTACTAAAATAAATCTTACTTCAGGCTATAAAACACAAGTCTCATAGAAATTACATTTGAAATAATGATTACCAGTCCTGAATGTAACAATGAGCACCAAGTCAGCATATTAGAATGATTTCTGAAGGATCATGTGACAATAAAGACGTGAGTTGCATCTGTAGAAGTTCCCACATTCATTATTTTCTAGATTACCTGGGGCCCTATCATTACAAGAGTCCTTCCTACTAAAACAATTCTTACTTCAGGCTATAAAACACAAGTCTCTCTACATTTGAAATAATGAAAAATTGGTAAAACAACATTAGTCCTAAATGTACTAATTTTATATATTATTGATTGCTTATCCTCCTTTTTATTGCCATATTCATGGCCAAAAATAAAATAAAATAATTTGCTACATGTCTTTCCAAACCTGACCGACTTTATTCTGTGGAACACAATAGAAGTGGTTTTGTGATTTTATATTGAAGTCATAATATGTAGATATGAATGTGGCTGGCATTTTCTGCCTGGCTCACCTCATGAACACGTTTGTAGTGGTTCTTGATTGAGTAAAGGGAGCGGGTGGAGTAGTCGCAATCAGCGAAGTCACATCGATATGCTGGCTCACTGCTGTGTGTGTCTAAATGCTTCCGCAAGTCTATCAGGTTTTTACAGCTGAAAAACCAGACAAACAAACAAACCATGTTCTGACAAACAGGTCTTAAATGGCAGACGGAAAGATTAGAAATATCCAGGGATTATGATTCACCGTCTCTGGTAATGAAGTGACCCCACCTGTACTCGCAGTAGTCACAGCTGTAAGGCTTCTCGTTGGAATGACGAAACTTGATATGGTTTCTCAGCGAGGATGGTGATGGACAGGTCATATCACACAGTGGACATTTATAATGGTTGACTTTGATCAGAGAACAGAGAAGAACATCATTAGGCAATAAAGGCATGTGAGGTCCAATACAGCAGAACAAAGTACAACCTCTATGACACTTGACATACAAAAAGACCCATACCATGGTTCCTCATGTGGTCTCTCAGCAGCCTCTCAGTGGCAAAACGTTTAGAGCAGTGAGAACATTGAAATCTTTGACCTGCAGACACATTCGCACACAAACAAATGGGTGCAATGAGCCATGCTAATCAATCTAATCAATTTTTTTGTTATGTTCAATAAAAGAATTCAAATTCGTTCAATAATGAAGGTTTTCAAATTCCGTTATTGCTGTTTGGACGTAACATTTCCGTCACACGCTTGAGGAATTTGGCCAATCACAACGCACTGGATAGCTGGCTAATCAGAGCACACCTCGCTTTTCAGACTGATGAGCTTTGTAAAAATCGACGCGTTTCAAAAAGGTGGGGCATAGCGGAGAAACAATAATGTACAGTATGTGCAAAATAATGTGTTTTTTAAACTTTAAACCGCATAAACACATTTCATTACACCAAATACACAAAATAATGTTCTTTTTAGCAGCATCATATGACCCCTTTAAGGAGCATTCATACAAGTAAGATGCTTAACATCATCTGCCACGGGGTTCACTATAGGTAGCACAAATATGGTACAGAACAGACAAAATGGACAAATAATCCACCTTATTTTTAACACAAGGTAGCAGTCTGGACTTTATGAAATATAATCACTGATTATTCTATTCTTTCTGATTCTGTGTTTATCTCATAACTGATTTGCTGCATCTCAAACAGGTGCCGACAACCACTAGGGGGCCTCAGCAAACTTCCAAGGGGGCCTTATTTAAAAAAAGTATTTAATAAATAAATAAAAAACTTTTAATTAAAGGGGTCATATGATGCAATTTAAATTTTTCCTTTCTCTTTGGAGTGTTACAAGCTCTTGGTGCATAAAGAAGATCTGTAAAGTTGCAAAGACTAAAGTCTCAAACCCAAAGAGATATTCTTTATAAAAGTTAAGACTCGTCCACACCCTCCTAAAACGGCTCGTTCTAAC